AACTCGAGTTATGTCCTTAAATAGTCTCAGGAGGTCGAGACCTTCATATGGATGTTATACATGAAGCCAAACTCGTTCGGATATATCTAAACTGTCAGCTGTATAAAACCGCTATCTCAGATCAGTGATTAAAATCTATTCGCGTAAATGAAACTTGTAAGTCGTGAAGAAAATCCCGGGTACTAGCGTTTCAGAATCTTTTTTTTTTTTTTTTTTTTAAAAAAAAGAAAAGCAGAACACAGAAGTTTCAAAAGTGAATATCAGTTTCTTTGTATATCCTCATTATATATATATATATATATATATATATATATATATATATATATATATATATATATATGTCCATTTTATCCTCTCACTAATTATTTACCCTATACCATAACCCCATTTTCCTTTTTCCAACCATTCATTTGACCTCGTTAAATAGTTTATTTGCCGAGGTATGTTGATTTTCCAAGCGTAGCTTACATGTGGCACAAGGCCGAAATTAGGGGGCACCCAGTGAGGATCGAACTCACTACTCAGTCGTAATGGTTCTAGCGAGACAAGCTTGCTAACCATTAACACCACCTCGAGGTGCCCAAAGTGATTTTCCAAGCATAGCTTAGATGTGGCACAAGGCCGAAAGTAGGGAGCACCCAGTGAGGATCGAACTCACTACTCAGTCGTAATGGTTCTAGCGAGACGAGCTTGCTAACCATTAACACCACCTCGAGGTGCCCAAAGTGATTTTCCAAGCGTAGCTTAGATGTGGCACAAGGCCGGAATTAGGGAGCACCCAGTGAGGATCGAACTCACTACTCAGTCGTAATTGTTCTAGCGAGACAAGCTTGCTAACCATTAACACCACCTCGAGGTGCCCAATTTGCCGAGATATGTGATTGAAGCACCTTACAGACATCCGCCAATGAGTGCTGAACATTTAACGAGTCCTAATAGTGGATGAGAGTAGTGTTCAATTATGGGTAAATGGGTAAATAGGTAAGAAGTATTACTTTCAAAGTGTATTTCGTATATATATATATATATATATATATATATATATATATATATAAACTTATTCAGACCCCTTGAGGAATGGATAATTCCAAGAAACTTCGAAGTCGGTGAAACAACATTTAAGTATTTTTTCTGTATATATATATATATATATATATATATATATATATATTTATATATATAAGTGAACATAGAAGTCAGTCTCATGCTAGATGCAATCGTCAGGCCTAGCGTGAAACAGACTGTCGCGTCTAAGTGTTGACGTCTATGTTCACTTTTATATTCGCACACGCTCTATCTCTGATATTGAGCACTTTATCCCATAAATATAGCACATCTTAAGACTATATTTTTTCATATATATATATATATATATATATGATCCATCGAGAAAAATCCTGGAAGATTGTGTGTTTATAAACAGTCATTTGGACTTTGCTAACCAGACGCCTTTCTGAAGCTAAACGATAAAACATGTCAGCTTTAGTTAATGACGGTTTTCGTATAGGAATACACGTTAGGAGAACGGATATTTTCTATGAAATTTCCGCGAACATTCACTCCGATAAATGTAATTCATACCGTGTAATTAAAAACAGAGCATTTACTTAATATAAGTTGGATCTATAAATAATAGCGTAGAAACAGAAAATATATTAAATAATTGTCGGACTTAATCCATTTCATAATACGTTGTCATTATTTACGTTAAGATACTTTTCGTGAAAAGATATGATCGATCGAAAAAATCGTCGAAAATTGTGTGTTTATATATATATATAAATGTGTGTGTGTGTGAGTGAGTGAAAATTTATGTTTGAGGCATGCCAAGGTACATGTATGTATACATAGCAGAGCGTAGTTTTAATGATTCTCTTAAAATGATTGTATTACTTTCGAAGTGTTTTATATATATATATATATATATATATATATATATATATATATACATATATATATATATATATATATATATATATATATATATATATATATATATATATATATATATATATATATATATATATATATAATGTAGTGAATGATGTGTTATAAATGTTCATAGAACGAATTAGGATATAAATGTCCAAGGCTTAAAACTGGATTCATATCAAATTTATATGTCTCAATGTTTTTTTAAGATGGATGTACATTTTGCTCTCTCTCTATTTATACCGAATAATCATATATATATATATATATATATATATATATATATATATATATATATATATATATATATATATATAAATTAATGCGCGTGATATCTCAGTGGAATATTTTAGACTGTTTTTATTCTATACACACACGCACACACACATATATATATATATATATATATATATATAAACACACACACAAACACAAATATGAAAATTTATGTTTTGGGCATCCTCAAAATACATGTATGTACGTATGCAGAACGTAGTTTTAATGATTTTCTTAAAATGATTGTTTTATTTTTATTTTTATTTTTTCTTCCTCTGACTGGATGCCAGTAGAAGAAGTCCGTAGGTTGAACGGCGCCGACATTAACTCTACAAAAGGAGTATAAAAAATTAAGTGGGTAAAACAATTATACTATTCATTTTTTTCTTTCTTTCTTTTATTATTATTTCAATAATTCAATATATCTTCTCGGTCATTGTTTCCGTCAAGAGGCGGACAAGAACAAAAAAAGCACAAAAAAAACAAACAAAACAAAACAAAACGGAGATCGGAAAGAAAAGCATCACGGGAAAAGGCCTGTACAAATTAAGATAAGAAAACAAGAGGAGAAAAAAAAAGTATAAAAGAAGCGTTGTTAGAAACTGAGAGTAAGTTAAGGAAAGAGAAGAAAAGAATAGTTAATGGTTAAATAGTAGACGAAAACGATAGAGAGCAAACAGGTTTAAGGTAAGGAAAAGAAAAAGAAGACTAGGGTATAAAAGATAAAGAAAGAGCAAGAGACATGTTAACGTTTAGGTGAGAGATAGCAGTCTTAGTTTTAAGGTTGTGGTCGAAAAAGAAATTGAAGAGGTAGAAAAATGGACGCGGAGAAACGAAGATAAAAAGAAATGGTGATACTGGTCGAGATGGGGTTGCTAAATTAGAAAAGAGAATGAATAAGACAGGCGAAACAGTTTGAGAAAGAAAAAAAATGGTATGAAATGATATACCAAAAAATAAAATAAATAAAATAAAAAGACCGTTCAAAAACAAAATAAAAAAAAAGTTGTAGGTAGGAGGAATTATCAAAAGCTGAAGAAATAGAAATACTTCAAGAAGACCATTTTTTTAAATAAATAATTTAGAAAGAAATCTAAAAAGAAAAAAAATACAAAAATGAAATTTGAGAAAATAAAGGAAATGGCAAAATCACCAGCAGGCAATTGGAAACGGATTAATTAATTTATTTTCGCAAAGTTAATTTCAATTAATTGAATATATCGTCTTAATTTATTTGCATCGCATTGTTTTCTTTTCATAAAACTATAAATATCCTTCGAACACCAGTTGTAAGAACAATAGTGGGACATAAAACAATGAATTTGTTCGTATAAATCTTAGAAACACCATCACGCCGTTAGACACTCGCGATGCAAGCTTATTATAACCAAAACACAGTTGGGGAGAGATGAGTGACAAGAAATTACAAAGCCCTGAGAAAGAAAGTCTACGATAAAAATGACGGAAAACGAAAAACAGCTAAAGAAAAAAGAAAACAAAAATAAGTAAAGGAAGTTATTTTCTGCGCATGTCTTTTGCACAACGCTTGAATAATGAAGTAACCAATGAAGAGACAATCAAAATAAAAAAAAAATAAAAAAAAAAATTCGAAGGATTCAATGATAATACTCTAGACTGTCTTCTCATCGTGGTCCCTGATCAGTGGATTAAGTTAAACAAAAGAATGTTAGAGCAACTCTATTTATTTTTAGACACATCAACATAGAGATGAGAAAGAAGAGGTGGAATTGCATCCACTCGGATCTCCGCTTGTAATATACGCATCTTCTGCTTCAAGAGCTAGATCAGACCAAAAGTATCGCTGCTGGAGATGCCCGGTCTTCAGTGTCCTCTCTTAACACAGTTCAAAGGCGTTTACGCCGCCTTGTGGGTGATGAATTATTTTCCATCTGCAGTACCTTTTCCCACAGACGAATCTTTGCTCGTATTTCGTTACTCTATTTCCGTTACAGACCATTATTACCTAATTCCATCAGTCCACACCTTCACAGCTAGGACCTGCCATGACACGTACACTAAGTCGACTCATACTCATATTCCACTGATAAAGAGGAAATTTCAATCAAACCGTTTCTTCAGTATCTGTCTATATTTCTGAGATGAGGTATTATGTATATTATTTACATTATTTGAACTATTGTCCTCATCTTTGTCGCCATATTTGTCACAACGTTTCGGCCGTTGTACGCTCCGGCCTTCTTCAGGCAGTCGGAATGTCGAACTGAACCCTTTATTTCGCTCACTGTGGTAGACTGTTCTAGTTCCACGTGCCATGTCTAATGGATGTCAGTTATCAGTTATCTCCTGTTAATTTCCCTCTGAAAGTTCTCCACTGCCTTAACCAGGTATTAAACTCACGCTCTTTGGGAATTAACAGGAGATAACTGATAACTGACATCCATTAGAGATGGCACATGGAACTAGAACAGTCTACCCCAGTGAGCGAAATAAAGGGTTCAGTTCGACATTCCAACAACCTAAGTAGGCCGGGGCGTACAACGGCCGAAACGTTGTGATATATATGACGACAAAGTTGGAGACAATAGTCCGAATAATGTAAATAGTAAACCGTTTCTTGCATGGAACAGGTACATTGTGGAACAGACCCCCGTGGAAATGCTTCCCCGATCACTATAATTTTTGACCTCTTCAGGCCGAAGGTCAACCGTTATCTATCCTCCATATTTTCATAATAGACACCTCTTGAGCCCTCTTCATACACTCTTACAATGGTCTCATTTGTAAGAGTGTATGAAGAGGGTTCTACTGCTTTCGGTCACATCACGTTGAAACACCGGTTCCCATACGATCACCGAAGTTAAGCAACGTCGAGCCTGGTCGGTACCTAGACGGGTGGCCAATTCGGAATACTAGGTGCTGTAAGTTTGAATGTGCGGTGGTATAATGGCTGATTTTTGTTTTTAATCCTAGAGCCGATTTCCATTTCGATTTGTTGTATTCATTTACATACAAATACCCTTGAGAAAGATAGGAATGCACTTTTTCTTCCCCCAGATATGGGTTAATTAGTAAGACTTCTAATATTTTACAAGTTTTAACCAACGGTAGTACTAACTGTTCTTTGAATGCTCAATATTTTCTTAGAAGGAAACGGCTCATATTATAATGATTTTCCAAGCGTAGCTTAGCTCTAGCACAAGGCCGAAAATAGAGGGCATCAAGTGAGGATCGAACTCACTACTCAGTCGTAATTGTTCTAGCGAGACAAGCTTCCTAACCATTACGCCACCTCTAGGTGCCCCCAGAGATTTTCCAAGCATAGCTTAGAGGTAGCACAAGACCGATAGTAAAGGGCACCCAGTGAGAATCGAACTCACTACTCAGTCGTAATTTTTCTAGCGAGACAAGCCTCGACGTGCCAGCTCATATTCTAAATATAGAAAATTATTTGTAAGATCGAATGTATGCAAGATTACAATCCCGAGTTACCAGTGAAGTAAGTCACACTGTGTACTAATAATACGCTCTTTATTTTCAAACCTGTTCACGTATTGATATGAATGACATCAACAGTTTGTCGGGATCCGGGTCTAGATGACAGCAGAGAAATATTCTCGGCACTAACTACTTCCAAAATTTAGTATTCGGATGTTTAGCAATTGAAATACTGATTTTAGGAGGTGTCTTCAACTGTGAACTTTCTCTTATGGGTAATCTTAAGAAAACTGAAACGTATATTCAGAGCGTTGCAATTTAAATTTCCGTCGGTATATATGAAACCCCTGCCTTAAAAGATGAGGGCATAATTTATCCGGTTTGTATTATTATAAGTTTGTTCAAATGCGAAACTTCATATATATATATATATATATATATATATATATATATATAGAGAGAGAGAGAGAGAGAGAGATGATAAAAATATATGGTGTATTTATGGATAAAAGTGCTCAGTATTAGGGATAAAGCACACATAAGTATAAAAGTGTCCACTGAGGTCAACATGGCGCGGCGACGCTCGACAAAAAAGTCTGTTTCATGTTTGAACGCAATTTTCAGGTTTCAGACTGCGTTCAAGCATGAAACAGAGACTCTCTCTCTCTCTCTCTCTCTCTCTCTCTATATATATATATATATATATATATATATATATATATATATATATATATATATATATATACAATATGTCCGAAACAAATTTACTCAGTCAGTTTAAATAATTATAAATACGCATTTATTTTAATTTAATATTTAATTTAAACCGTCAATCTTCATTGTAATTCAATAAATATTTCTTTGTTTTAAGTATTACTCTTGTTTACAAGTCAGTAAACATTGCCTTTATTGTCATTTAAAGAGAGAGATTTTCCGTTTGGTGGGAGCAAGGTATATCAGTTTTGAGTAAGGTAAATCAACTGTATCAATTTCACTGGATAGTACAAGATTGTGTTTCTTGTCAGAACTCAGTTATTTTTATCGGTCATACTACCGCCTCCTTGAGTAGATGTCGCACGTGTCACTCATCAGATCAAAGTGCTATAAAGAAATACCCACAATTTACAAAAACCCTTAATAAAAATTATCTATGAAAACACTAATATTCTGTATAAATCACATTGCCGAAAACATCTCGCTATGAAAGAGACCCTGCATATTAAACATATCTCTCTCACTATCAACCTAAACTTATTTAACAGTGGAAATGGTGTACAGAAAGTTTTTTTGGAAAATAGAAAGACGCCCACTCGAAATGCAGCCAACATGTTAAGTCTCAGAGTAAACCATCCAATTAGTATTCAAAACAATACAAAAAACATCTTAAACAGTCAAATTATGACAAGAAGTTAATAACACGTAAACAACCGCCCTTGAAAATGGCTAAAAAGTGGCCGAAACCTCTTTTTTGCATATAAACAAATTTTGTATTCCCTTATTCCCACCAAACGGAAAAAATATAAGAATGCTGGAAAAACTAAATAGAAATTAATTACATCTTCTTTTTCTGCCATATTTTCCAAAATATCTTTAAAAGAAAGAAAGGTTGCTGCTCAAATATACATTAATACACACACAGACACGCACACACACACAAATATATATATGTGTGTGTGTGTGTGTGTGTGTGTGTGTGTGTGTGTGTGTGTGTGTGTGGCAAATATATAGAAAAATAGGAAAGAACACGTTAGGTAAATAATCCGAAGTCCTTTAGTATTTTTGTTTTTAAAAACAGTGCTCAATACGTAAGTAGAGCCTAAATTATAATTATTTTTTAAAAATATGATTCCTTCGCGACATAAGAGTTCTCATATTTCAAAAACAAGAGCCAAAAACTTCAATATAATTATTAAAATTGAAGTGAATTAAACATCAAGCTCTGTTTCATCCTTAAGAGAAATTTTTAGAAACCAAAAATTTCGCTTCAGGATGAAACAGAGCTTGATACTTTAATTTAATTTGACTCTAACGCATTTACACCGATCAGAAGTTTAAATATAAGATTATTTTCATAAAAAGTTTCGCTTAGCGAGGAATCGGACAGAGTTCGGGTTTTTGCTAATAATATGATCTCCAGCAGAAAATACACCGTCCACAAAAACCTCTGTCGGGGGGTAATTCCAATTTCTCTGTTTATTTCTCGCACCGTTGATGAAGAACGCAAGCGTGCCCGAAAATTACAGACTTAAAACCTTTCTTTCCGTGCTTCATTTCTGTCATATGGTTAATAATTAATATTGAACAAATGCTTTTCGCACTGATTATATTGGTCCCCTTTCGTTTGCCTTTGTTTTATTAACTAACCTATCTATTTTACACACGCACATATACGCACACACACATACGCACACACACATACGCACACACACATACGCACACATATATATATATATAATTATTTAATCGAAAATTATAACATAAATATGTTATAAAATTACTACAAAAATAGCCATTTTGTTTCAACACGTCTTGTGTCTTAACAAGTGATGGTGTTGAAATTTATTCCGTATACACTAATCCTATACTTGGACATATATATATATATATATATATATATATATATATATATATATATATATATATATATGGAGGTGCGTGCTCAACAAAAATGGTTCATGCGTATATATTTAGTACTGATATCCAATACAAATAAAATGAAATATATGCAATGTGTGCAGTAAAAAAAAAAAAAATTGAAAAGTTTTCTGGTCACCGGAATTAATTAGATTCTTTCTCTTGAGAGCATGGCGCATGCGCACCGTAATGTGATCGTTTGTTTTTTATTATTTCATTATAGTTTTGGCGGCCATGTTGTCCGAACAGAGATAAACGGGCAAGGACAACATCATAAGCACTTCAGAAGAAGTAAAGGCAGTCACAAAAGAAGAAAGGGTAACAAATTTTTAGAAAATGGCGGCAAAAGTTACCAAAATAGTAGTGAAAAAAGATAAGAATGAGAAAAGAATGAATATGTGGATTAGATGGATTTGAAAAAGAGAAAATATGAAAGAAACGATGGACTGAAAAGGTGAAGGAAGGGTATTTATTTCCTAACATTAATTATTACTTTTCCATTGGAGTATTGGGTTAATATTTTTTTTAATTTTTGCGCAATCATTTTTTTTCTTTCGTTTTCTTTCTTAAAGTTTATTTTTCTTAATCCCTTTATCATTTCAGTTTTATCATTATTTCCTATTGTATTTTTCCTTTTCTGATTATCAAATTTAATTGTGTTGGCTTCTTCTTCCTCCTCCTACTCTTCTTCTTCTTTTTATTCCTTTTCTTTCCTTGCTTCTTCTCCTCCTTTTCTTCATTTTCATCTTCTTCACTTTGAAATCCTTATTCTCTCTTTTCTCTCTCCCCACTGTACCATGCCACTTTCTTTCTAACAGATTTTTTTTTGTTCTGCATTTTCAAAGATGGCTTCTTCACTACGGCTTATTCTATCACTACAGTACGAAAATGACAGCCTATATATGTAAATATGTCTGAACAGCCTGTCACCTGGTGTCGCCAATGCAAGCAAGATGACGATACAGTTCAAGGGAGATAAGACACGTTCCGCAAAATGTTACATATATTAATTCCATTCACGAATCATACATTAAGATAACATAGCCTCTCTTTATCATCACTCTCGCATGCTCACACATGTGCACACGCACACGTGTACACGCACGAACACATATACACACTCTCCCTCTGTCTGTTCTTCTCTCGCTCTACTTATCTGTTTCGCAACATTATTTGGTTTTACATTCCGATCTTCTTAAATCTTCCAAAATTTTCATGTTTTACTTTTTCTTCTTTTCCTACCATTTTGGGGGTTTTGATAAATTAGAGATATTAAAATTAAACATTTAAATATCTGGGAAGGGGGACACTGAAATCCGAAAACGTGTTTCTAGGATCCACAATAAGGAAAGACGGCTTGGAAAATCTGATACTCACAGAACGGATTGAGGGTAAGGGGAACAGAGGAAAACTGGGGCATAACATACGTGTTGAGCTAGTGTCAATGGATGGCGGAACAGGGTTCAGAAGAAATAACGAAAAGACAAAATGTATTAAGTGGTACAAAGGAGAGGAAATTGTGGAGAGCCATGATCGCCTAAGACCTGAGGGAATACGGCACATAAAGATGAAGTGTATACATCAGCATGAAACCAACTTCAGAGGAGATGATGTAAATTAGTAAACATGGTAATATTTCTGGTTAAATTCCACGAATCCATGAACACCTATATATATATATATATATATATATATATATATATATATATATATAAAGAACTAAACATTAACAAAAAGAAGCTATATATATATATATATATATATATATATATATATATATAGGTATAGGTGTTCATGGATTCGTGGAATTTAACCAGAAATATTACTATTATTATATTATTTTATTATATAATA